CCCCAAAACCCCAAAACCCCGATAGAGTAAAATAACGTTAAAAATGAAATCAGAATCATCGAAATTAAAATAAAAAATAATAAATAATTTCTTTCATTGTATTAGTTTGTATTTATAAACATTGATACTATATCATTTTAGCTTTATAATCATTGATTATGATTGACATCTATAAAAGTTCTAAACTTTCTTGTGACATTTTTATGTATCAATAGACGAGATGTGAGATTTTCATCAATTGTTTAAATCTATTTTAATTCACATTCTATAATATTGTACTCTATGGATTGAGAATTCTCAACGAAATAACTTGATGAAAACTCCTCTTCCTTATTTTATTACTTTAATTCAAATTATTTCTTTTTCTCATCATCAATAGGTGTTTAGATCTTAATACAATCATTTTATTAAATTTAATTATTGAAATCTTAGAAGGAAATATATTGAGGCAACTTAGAATCAATTTTAAAAGCATTTTAAATTTTGCAGGGAGATTTGTCTTATAAAACTGTTGCTTAACTAATCGTTTTATCTAGGAAATTATAATTCATTTGAGAGTGATTATTAGGAGAAAAGTTTTATTTTTATTCAAAGCATTGTTTTTACTCATTATTTTTTGCAAATAGTTTCATTCTATTTTCAACTTTGAATGATGATTACTTTTTATTTATCACTTAAAAATTAGGTTGAGTATCATCAATAGTATTTATTAGTAACTTATTTCTCTTCATTGGTGAATATGAGCGAGGTAAGTTTGAGTTTTCTTATCTTTGGATTTAATTTTTCTATTAGTTTGCCTAGGCGTGATTTGCTGTGGAAACTAATTGATCTATGTTTGGATTGCTTCCATCAATATATTATTATTTATTATTTTTTGTCTTTCTAGACTATATATATTTACTTTCAAGGGCTTAGGATGCTGAAGGCCTTAAAATTGGATTCTTATAAGTCATCCTCAAGATTAAATCTCTCAAATCAGCATCTTCAATCTTCAATTATATTTTGCCTTGAAAATCTGACTTAAGAGTCTTTATTAATACCTCATTTAGTGATTTGCCCTTAATAAGATTTTCGCCTGTCACTAAGTTATAAAATATGATTCCTGTACTAAATATGTCAACTTTTTCATTATATTCTATTGTTTTCAGAATTTCAGGGGCTACGTATCCGGGAGTCCCACATCTGCTTTTTTCTAATAGTCTTTCATCCTTGTATATTGAAAATCCAAAATCAGCGATAGCAATTTAAAAGTTGAGAGTATTTAAATTTCTTTTATTTAATAGTATATTTTCTGGCTTGAGGTCTCTATGGATGACATTTAGAGAGTGCATATATTCTAATGATTCAAGAATTTACTCAATTAGTTAATAGATTACTTTTTCTGAAAGTTTTTTGAGAGTCAATTCCTTAAGATTCCCGCCATGTTGATATTAAAGTATTATATACAGATTTCTTTTGCTTTCGTACACTTCGTATATTCTTAAAATATTAAAAGACTCTCTAAGTCTTCTCTAAATTTAAATCTCGGTTAGCAATTATTATCTAAGGGTTAAATCAGCGTAAAGGGTTTTATTAATAACCTTAACTGCAAACTTTTAACATGGATTTTACTTTGGAACGCAAATGAAAACCGTCGAATATGAGCCTTACCCTATTTATGAAGTAATATCATAATTTTCTCTAATGTTTTGATTAGTGCATTAACTTTTAAGCTGACGGAACCATTGCCCTAATAATTATTATTGAAATTTTAAAGATTCTGTATCTTGAATAAAAATGATTTCTAAATACTATTGCTCTCTTTAGATGGTAAAATATGACTTATCATTTTCATTTGTGCTTTTGTTTTGTTCCAATAAATTTTTGAGATATGAGAATTCAAGGTTTATTTAGTACAAGGGTCTGGTAAATTATTTCTCTGTCTTAGAAAATAGATAAATTTTATCTTGAATTAATGTCGATATAAATGTTTGATTTTTCAGCTCAGAAATGTTCGTTGAGTTAATTTATATTAGTTGCCAGTTCTCAGAGCATTAAAGCAAATTTTATTAGTTATCAGTGATCATAGGGTTTCTTTATATAAAAGGATCTTAGTGTAGTCCATCAAATATACTATCCTATTAATTTTAGTTCTCAGGACTGATTTCCTTATAATGCTTATTCATTCTTGCTAATTCGATTAAAGATTATATTAACAAGACAGACAAATGATTAACTTATCAATTAAATTCAAATAGATTAAATATTTATTATTCTATTAATTTTGTTCTCCTTTAATTACAATGCTATTAGGCCACATGGGGTTTTGGGGTTTTGGGG